TTTTGTTTCTTGACAATAAATGGCCATAAGATTGCCTGTAAGATTCGAGATCGAGACTAGCAACCAAAAGAAATTTCCTAATTACTTGTTACGTGGATGGATGATGTAAGATAGGAACAGTTGCGTCGATATGCGGTGGTGATTAGAAAATACGATATGATTATACGTTTTTCTTTTTTTTTTTCTTTTTTTACAATTTTTATTTCGAAGCATTACTTAACATCATCGTGCTCATTTTGCCAATGTTAACGTGGTGAGTTATTTAAAAATAATGGAAAAAGGAGAATGATATTAATTACTTTCGACTGTGACATATATTAATTTCATAACCTATCAGTTATTGTTGGCCAAATTCTAACATGCAGATTGTGACGGTAGTTCCATTCCTGAACGAGGATACAATTTTCGGACGATTTTGTAAGGATTGTAAAAGAGTAGGAAAGGGAAGGAGTTGTTACGAAATTAACTGCTATCGTGCATCGTTTAAGCGAACGACGATACCTATAAAAGACGAGCAATTAGGTGAAAACCATGGTATTCGGTGCGTACAGTTGACCGCAGAATCACGCAACTGCGGTGTCTTCTTCTGTTTTGATTCAAATCATTTGAATGACTCATCCGGAGTGAAGAAACGTACAAAGGATTTGTCCCTGAAAGGGACACTGTGCTCCTCTGTTTTTTGAGTCTGTAGGTGCATGTCAATACTGTGTCCGCGAGTATCGAAGGCGGAGCTAGAAGAAAGGTGTAACTGGAAATTATAAAAGAGCGGCCGGCGGCCAAGAGGAGACAGTCTCCTCCAGGTGTTCACCTGCGCGGCTACGAATCGGGGTATGTTATGTCTTTTTGTTCATCTCGTAAGTTGATATTAAGTCTTGTTAAGGATTTATTTATTTATTGCGACATTGGCGGAGCTTGTTTGTTAAAATTGAACAACATTCGAGGTTCTCAGAAATTAATACATTTCGAGGATAATGAAAAAGTATTGAAACAAACAAATTTTAATCTGTCTTGGTGGGGGGGGAGGAAATAAACTTTCTTAGTTTATTCTTAGTATAGTTATTAACTTCAGTAGCTCGTTTTACATACGCAATACGGATACCTTCGGATGAACCTTCCTGTTTATATGATAATTCACTAATTGTTATTTCAATCACGTCGCCAGGCGTTTAAATCGTTCTTCTCGGTGTACTTCGCTGAACCGATGTCGGATGAATTTTAAGTACCTACATATTGTACTTACACTGGCCTTGTTCTCAGAGGTCAGAAACTTTAAAGGCCAGGGGCATGGAATAAATTTTTGAACGTCTGAACGTGTCATTGATTTTGATCGATAACTGGAAACCATGATCGAGCAAATCGGCATTATAGATATATTAATATCTGTAACAGTGTTCAATTGATGCGTGTGGTGACGTATGCGCATATATTTTATTCGAGTTGATAATTTCTCTTGCTTCGCATATATTCGATTACACAAATAATAACAATTTTATATTAATATAATATGTTATATATTATTTATTATACAACGAATATAATATAATATATTATATTATATTAATATAATAAAATCAATTATTATTTAAATAATGTTATTATATAATTAATATATATTATATGTTATTATATTATATTATTATATTAATTATTATATAATTAATATATTATATTATGTATAATATATGATATAATATTATATTAATATAATAAAATTAATTATTATTTTATTTTAATTATAATAATAATTTTAGGGAAAAGAATAAAAGAGAAAAGAAAAGGGTTGATCCGTTGACCCAATTGACGTGACACTTCCTAGCAAAAATACTTAGATTACCAGCTATGGGGTGAACGTTAGTCGACGATCGAAGAAAGAACTTGAGTGGTAATAACATAAGTGGGGCTTTCTACGCGGAAGATAGTGTTACGTAGTTTATTTCGCTGGTTGCTCGATAACCCCATTAGCCATTCGCTCATAATAAATAATAAAATAAATAATCGTTAATAAGGGAACGATAATAAAGGGAACCATTCGCTGTGAATCTGTAAATCTGTCTTGAAAGTTAGAATTTCTCAGGTATCAATGATGACGATATACCTGTGTATATAATCTGCGTATCGTTTCTCAACGACGGATAATGAACGACGATAAACGATCGAGTGAGAATCTACCCGATCTTTAGAGTATCGTATTGAATCGGAATTCAAAGAGAGCTGATCGTTAGAAAGGGAGCAGACCGAGGGGATTATTTAACTTGAAGAGATAGCGAGATGTTACGTGAACGACGTGTTAGTCTTGAACGTATGTACAAGATCGGAGAACAAAGATGATGGCGCGTGATTACGTAACTGTGGAGAAAGTGGTTGCAAAACAAGTCAACTTGCACACATTACTATCACACGGATACACGTAATAGTTTGGCGGTGTTCGACGGCCATTATATCAGAAAACGACGAAATTGTTATGTCACAAAATCACCGTTAACTCAGTCGCTGTCGGTTCTTACGAAATCATGAAACAAGGAGGAGAACATCTCTCGAGTACGTGTTTCTCCCTACGTAACTTTTGCTCGCGTTCGCTGACTTTGAACGTTATCGGGGGGAAAACTATGTCAGAGCATAGTTTCGTTAAAGAATGCGCGAAGGAAATTTGACCTTGTTTCGGTGAAAAAGACCGGAAATATAAATTAATAAATTTTTTTCATATTGAAGATATAATGTTTTAAATAAACTATATATTCAGAAATAAAGATTAACATAATCTGATATATAGAAGCTTTAATTCTTTTATTTCAATTAAATTAGAATATTATTCGATAATTTTATTAACAATAAAATACCTTTTTTATACAAATAAATATAAAGTAAAATTTTATATCTAATCTTCGTGATTTACATTTGTTTTATAATATTTAAAATATTCAAAATAAATATCCTAATAATTCGTTCAATAATTAATGTAAATAATATTATAATTATAAATAAAATAATTAAAATTATTATTTATATGAAATTTAAAATATTTTAAATATGCAATTAATTAACAAAGTAATTTCAATATCAAAAGTTAAAAAATAATAATCTATAATTAAATAATAATTTAAAATAATTTAATAATAATTTTAAAAGAATGGTATAGAAAATGGTAATGAAAATTTAGAAATTGGGATACTTGCTTATATCGTGTTAGTCGAAGATCAAGGTAAGATCAAGTTGATCGTGACGAGAGAGAAACGAATGATTGTTTTTCTCTTTTAGAATTTCCACCGTATTTTGGACAAGTGGAGAAGAGTCGAAGCTGTCTTTGCATAAATTAAAGATGGGAGCGATCGAATGGGTGACCGAGGGGGACAACTACGAATGCCCCCTTTCGAAGGAAACGCAGAGACTAGCCAAGGAGGAGCTGAGAGAAGACAAAAATACGAGAGACCAGGCTCTCGAGCAGATACGTAACTGGATAAAGCTGAATCCGCGTATTGAGAACTGTCGCCTCGGTGAGAGAATCTTTTTCTTTTTTTTTTTTCTTCTTTCAAAAGTTTCAAAGGTAATTTGTCCACTACCATCTCTTAGCTGACATGATCTGTCTCTCGTTCGACAGATGCGCGCTTCCTATTGAGGTTCTTAAGATGCAAAAAGTTCAACGTCCCAATGGCGGAAGAGGCGATCGAAAGATATTTGCTGCTGCGTCAAGTTTATCACCTTGCCTTCCATCATTTGGATATCACCCAGCCAACCATGGAAGAGTTGTTGTCCTTGGGGTGAGATAGACGCAAAGAATATGCGATTGATTCGTGCCGAAGACATGAAATACGATTTGCTAATTTCCGTAGATATCTGTTTGCTGCACCTGGACGCGATGCCAAAGGCCGCCGCGTTATAATTGCCAGACCAGGTAAATTTTTAACACGTTCGATCGATTTCCCTGATTGTGCCTGCAGTGCCTGCAATCTTACGTATGTATATGCTGACGAATAACCTTCGTATTGCGAAACTTCTCTCTCACAATTTCGCGGTATTTCGTTTGCGACACGCAAGTGTTTCGTACAAATATTCTAAACATATAATATACGTGCCGATCGCGTCACGTTGTCCACATTGTAAACGTGTTGATCTCAGCATTCGTCGATCGCTCTTGCGAAACTTGATCATATGTGTCTCGATATGAACGTCGATCATTTCTCGAAATACCGGTGTAATGATCATTCTCAAGATTTCTTTTCTCTTTT